TGTTAGTACTACAGCTACTCTCCCTGCAAGAACTACTATCACTACTTTCCATTTTACTACTTATGGTATTAATAGTACCCCTAAACCCCAAACCTTAAACCCTAAACCTCAAACCCTAACCCCAAACCCTGAACCCCTAAACCTCAAACCCTAACCCTAAACCCTATACCATAAACCCTAACCCCAAACCCTAAACCATAAACCTCAAACCCTAACCCCAAACCCTAAACCATAAACCTCAAACCCTAACCCAAAACCCTAAACCATAAACCCTAACCCTAAGCCCTGAGCCCTAAACCCATGAGATGGGCTGAGGTGGGGTACACGAGAGAGCCAGGCCAGGGCACTCCGTTGGTTGCGACAAACAGGGTTACAGAGGCGTTATGTATATAGAGGTTATGAGGAACACATGAGGTTATATGGTGCTTATCTAGGGATTTTATACGGATTGTATAGGGGTTTTATAGGGACTGTATAATGATTGGTGATATTACTCGCAAATCGTTCATAATCATATGCAAAAGAACATGGAAAATTACATGGAAACTGGGTTATGTGGGGGTTGATGAGGATTGGGGTTTCCGGAAAGTAGAGGTCCCTTATCAGGAGTTCCTTTTTTTAAGGATGATGGTGTATTGGGGTCTATTTTGGGCACTCAACATTCCAACAACTGAGTTTTCGTCACGGTTCTACTGGAATTATACCGTTTGCAATAATGGGCTGAACAACAATGCATAGGAACGGTCAAGAGTAGGAGATATATCAGAAGCGATGTTCTCTCTTTAGTTGAGTCATCAAACTTGAATCCCGAAGTAAGATATATCACAGGCGACTCGTTTCAATTGCCGATCTCAATTTTCAGCACAAGCCAAAGGTTTCAGTGGCCTTGCTCATAATAGTAGTTTCCATTTTCTTTTCTGTTATCCCTGGAAACCCCAATATAACCCTAATATCTCCCGTTATAGTAGTTTCCATTTTATTTCCATTATCCCAGTATAACCCCAATATAACCCCAATATAATCCTTAAACCCTAAACCCTAAACCCTTTGCTCCAGGTAGCGCATTGGCTGGATAACATTCGGCCGAGGCGGCCTTGAATGGCCTTGCTCTTACAGGGGATGGGTTTAGGGTCTAGGGTTTAAGGTTGAGGGTTTAGGGTTTAGGATTTAGGGTTGAGGGTTTAGGGTCTCCACAAGACCATGTCCTTGGAAGTAGTATTTTGGAATCATATAGGGATAATGAAAAAGACAATGGCAATTACTATGTTATGATAGATTTTTTTTGGGGGTTACATGCCCTTGGAATATAAGCACAATAACCCCTAAATCCTAAATAGTAGTTTCCATTTTCTTTTCCATTATCGCAATGTATCGCCAATATAACCTCAATATTACTCAATGGAGCGGATGCCTATTGAGGCCTCACTCCATGCTCGCCTTTTGATGGCCTGTCTTTGTTTCACTGGCATGTCAACAGAATTTGATTGTCGGAGTTAATGCAAGACCTCGCAGGGCGGTGCTGCCCGTCTTGGGGTGGGGTGAGGATAAAGAGTCCTCGTGATGTTTCACAGATAATGCTTGGGCTGCAACTGAGCTTCTTCTGCGCCTTCAGCCGATATACCTGGTACATTTCCTCATCTGTTTTCTTAGGATGTTCAGGTGCAGAAGCAGCTGGTGAACGGCTCCGATTTGTGTGCTTGGGGCGAAATGGAGCTGTGAAGCGTGTTTGGATGAGACTGCTCTTGGACTGCTACCCTCCAAAAGAATGTCTAGGTCTACTTGCAGATCAACAGATCGTGGTTGATAGCTCCTGTTGGCTCAAGGGTCCGCGGCTTTTTTTGGCGCGAGGTGCTAAGACGCTTTGTCAACTCAAGCGTTTTCTGGCTCTTAGTGCTTGCAGAGGAGAAGGAGTTTTGAGTTCATGCGGGCAGTCTTTTGCATCTGATGCTCAGGGTATTCATGTGATCTGAGATGGCTCATGGAGCCTTTGCCTGCACGAGGGTTGTTCTAAGGCGTGGCTCCCATGGCAGCAGGACTGTTCAGGCACCTCTTCTGCACTTCCAGCCAGGTTGTCAGGTGAAGATCTGGGAGCTATTAGTTAAGCAGTTTAACGTTGCAAGAGTTGTGAGTCCGGGTTTCTTAACATCATGGGTTACTCTCTCATCGTCTGTTTTGCAGCTGTGACATGGTTTTTGGATCCGTTGAGGGAACTGAATGTCGAGAAATCACAGAATTCCGATGCCTTCAAGCATCGACAGAATCAGGCCAACGATGGCCGGCCGAAAGAGTGCAGCTGCGCTGTACCTTGGTGACAAGCAGCTCCTTGAAGATCTCTTTCGTCTTTCTCTCTCTCTCTCTCTCTCTCTTTCAATTTGGTGGCCTCAATGCCTTTGAAGTTTTGCACAGGTTCTTGACAGGGGTTCCTGCAGAGGCACATAGTCGTGACTGCTTTCCAGGATTCTCCTTCCATGCGCTCTTGTCCTCATTTTCGGTATTGCTCGCGGATCCTCGGCCGTGACCTTTCTGAGTGTCCCAGCCTCGGTGAGCAGGTCAAGAAGTAGAGGTTATGTAGGGAATATCTAAGGGAAATCTTAGGGATACATAGGGATTACATACGGGGTATGTGGGGTTTACACAGGGGTTTTATAGGGAGTATTTAGGGCTATATAGGGCTTGGGATTATCTACAGGCTATGTAGGGATCATGTAGGAGTTATATAGGAGGTCTTCACCCAGCTGTTCACTCCAGTAGCCATTGCAGTGTTTCGTGTAGCTTGGAGTAAAGTGATGTACAGGGTTGTATGGGGATGTATCTATAAATGAGCTACAGCCTAAACTACTAGCATCCCCCTTAACAACCCGTCAGTAATCCCCTATACAATCCCTTATATGGCTCTCATATAGCCTTCTATAAGGAGTTTAGATTGTAACTCATATACACATGGTTTGAGGTTTCCAAATACTAGGGGTCCCTTATCGACATCGTAACAATGTAGCATCAAATGGAAAAGACAATGGAACATGAGTTGGAAACTGGGATTGCATGGCGGTCTGTAGGAATCGGGGCCCCGCTAAGGGCGAACCGTAGGGTTCGAACAAAATAGCTTCGGCAACTCTTCGGCCTCCATCCCCAAATTCAGATCCCAATGAGGAAGCCTGAAGGGTTAGACAAGGGAGTTAGATATGCAGCCATGCCTGATTAGCATGTGGTCATGACATCGATGAACTTCAATTTTTCAAGAAATCTCGTAGGTCTCATCGAATCCCAAACCCCACACCCACAGCCGAAATCTGAGGACCCGAGCCTCAAACCCATTCAAACCCTGAGCCTCCTAAACCCTAAGCCCATACTCGGTAAGCCATAAATAATGGTAATAATAGTACTAATAGTCCTAATAGTCATAATAATAATAATAGGCTTCTAACGCCTAAGGCCTCTCCGGCACGTGGCTCGCTTCGCGGGCCGGAGCAGCATAGAACAGAACCGAGGCCGTGCCCAGGGCCTTGCTGAAAGGGAGGGCGAAAGGGGGATAAAGGGGTGATATGAGCTATTGTCTAAACTCCTTAAAGGGGGGTTATATAGGGGATTATATAGGGGACTACTATAGGGTATATTAAGGGGGATACTAGGAGTTTAGACTATGGCTCATATGGGGATAGGATAGGGGTACATCGGACTACATAGGATGTAGAGTTTAGGGTTGCGGGTTCAGGGACGACGGCTTCGGGATGAGGGTTAAGGGATTCGGAATAAGGGTTCAGGGTTGAGGGCCGGGGCAATATGCGTGCTGGACAAAGAGGTAATGAAGAGTCTGCGCATCATCCTGAAGAGGGTCGGGACATGGATTTCTTAGCACGATGGATATCTCTGGGAGGCCGCTATCAAGTGGATCAGATTATCACGGGGTCAATAATAAAATGCACGCATCCGTGAGCAGGGATTGCTGTACGGCCAACCTTCTGCTTCAAGGCATCTTAACGTGAACATCTCGAACCAGCAAACCCCACCCGGCCTCCAGGTCTCGCCCGCTTTTTCAAACATCCTCACTCTCTCGCAGGAGTTCCGCGATGTGCGGCACCGCGCCCATTGCCGAGCGCTCAGTTGGGCATTTATGTGTGCCTGCTGCAGCTCCTGGTGTCGCCGTATTGTGGGATTTCCGAGTCAGACCTCAATTTCTAGATCCAAGTTTCAGCGCTTTTCAGGTTGGCCTTGCTGCAGCAGTGGGCTGCGTGGCCGTCGCCAGGAACTTGGACGTCGTGCAGCGATTCCTGTCGAGCATGCTACCATGATTGAGTTTGGCGTCTCAATGTGTTTGGCACAATAAAGCAACATAACATGAGGCACGCAGCACCGTTCAGCGGCGCTACAAGGGCACCTACAACATGGACGGGTTTTCATGTTAAGGTAGACTTGCAATGTGCTTGAGAGAGTCTGCATAAGCATGTGCCGAAGCTGGACACCACATGGATGAAGGATCCTGTATCGTCGATCAAGGGAGAGCCCTTGATACCGAAGGGAGAGCCCATGAAGATGACAGAGGAAGAGAAGGAGTGGAGGGAGGGGTGGGTTGATCCCTTGAGATTGCGCGTTGAGACTACAACTTGACTGTCCCGCCTTCACCAATCAGCCAGGCCGAGTGGCTGACTACGAAAACTGCCGAGCTTGAAGAAATCATGCCAATGAGTGACATCGAGTTTGAAGACATGGCGACTTGGCTGCTACATGCTGCTACATATCGAACTGCAAATCGTGTCCTACGCATTTAAAGAGCCTGCCGGAAAATTATGATAGTAGCAGCTATTCCTAATCCACTACTATACATTTGTGTCTGTAGCATCCAGTGCTCAACCATGATATGCCACAATTGACTCGCTGCCGGTCTGGCTTGGAGCAGTCCTGATCAGGTCTCAGAGCAGACCTGGCTGTTGCTCGGCTACAGGAATCAGAGTGCCCATGTGCCCTTGATGATCAACACTGCCTGGAGTGCTGGCGTAGAAGAATCGAACTTTTGCAAATGGGGGGAGGAATGCTTTGGATTTTTTCTAGGGGGCAAATTTGCCCTCGGTTCTTGGGTCCTTGCACCTGTCCTTAGGTTGATTTTTGTAGGGCGATAGCCGCATGAAGCCTTTGCGGGGAGGTATGCCACAAGTCTCAGATACTTTGGTGCTTGTCTTCCATTTTGTTGACATTAAAGCCAAGCAGCACTTAGATCATAGATCCCCGACAAGACATCTTGAACAGAATACCTGCCGCTCCCCAAGTTCTTTGCAAGAAAAGGTGGGCACGCCACTTGCTGCCCTTCCAGGACATGTGCCGCATGGAAGAGTGTCTCAGAAATTGAGATCTCTTGGATGGTTCCTACACCAATGGGTCTCTAGCGTTTTGTAGATTGAATTGAATGCTGGGCATCTCTGTACCATTGTGCAGGCATAGTTCGAACGAAGCCTGTGTATCCAAAGCATTGCCGCGGGGCTTGAAGGAGAGGCGACGACACGAAGTGGCCGAGTACAAGCGCAGATGCATCCAAAAGCAGTGCCGCCGGCAAGCTGTTTCATCAAGTGTGTCAGGAAAAATGAAGTTCTTTAACGGTTGCTTGGGATGCTGCAGGATATGCCTGTGTTTCACATCCACTCATTTGCAGATGTCGTGTTGCTTAGCAAGGGCATGTCCGTATTTGGGCAACTGACTCACTGATGCGTAAGCTTCCCAAGTCGCGGTACCGGTACATCTCATCAGAACGAGACGAGAGGCCTCTGAAGAGAGCTTCAAACTCGTCATGCCATGACCCTGAACCTCTGAACCCCGAGTGTCCTTCTATAACCTTTAACTATCCCCGAATTCACCCTATCTTTTTTTGAAAGGAGCCAGTACTTTTGAGATCAGCCATATTTGTCAACTTTTATACCCAATACAATGTGGGCCCTATTGCCTTCAACCCTATGCCTTCATCTCTGGAGCACCTCCAGCCCTAATCCTCCATGACAAGGCCCTGAAACCTAAACCCGGAACTCCGGAGTTTAAGTTATGAACACAAGGCCCTGAGCCCTGAACCTTTAAGCCTCAGTCCCGAATCCTAGACCCTAAGCCCTAAGCCATGAGTTACCTTAACCCAAAGTCCTGGACCCGAAATCCTATGCCCTCAGCTCTGCATGTCAGCTGCTAGGACTCTCCTGCACGAAATGCGTCTTCGGGCTGTATAGTGGCATTTGCAAAAAAAAGTGATACTCTAACCTCTAAGCCCGGAACCCGGTATGCCATATGGTGTTGTGCCTTGCGTCAACCGTCCACCTCCTGGTATGGTCCCTCAGAAATGCGAGCAGTCACAGGGATGGTGGGTGTCCAGATCACAATCCTCAAAACGTTCTTCGTTTTTGAGGCCTCCAAAGGCGCTAATGTGTTGCTGTCATCGCTTTTCATTTCGGGAAATCTCACGGGTGACAAAAGTCACAAGGATGGTGGATGCTCTGGTCACGATCCGCGAATAGTCATTGAGTTGTAGGAGGAGGTCAAGCCGCTCACACGACAGCGGGGAGGGGAAACATAGAATGCTATTGATTTCAGTAGCGACGATTATTGAGGTAAGACAACCACCCATACTGCAGGGGGAGGGAGGATGCCTGAGTCCCTTCAGCAAAAACCAATGCTGACAGTTTTGGGAGATAGAACATCCACCACACCACAGGGAGAGGAAGCCTGAATGCTGACCTCCGCAAAATGCAGGTCTTGATGCTGCGAGGTGACAGTCGATTCCCAAAATGCTGCAGGGGCGGAACTTATGCCACCATATCCCGTATCCCGATATGCCCCCATCCCTGTAGTTTCCATTTTTTTCCATTATTCCCTATATTATAACCCCAATATAACCCTAATATAACCCTAATATAACCCCAATATATCCCCTAATATAACCCTAATATAACCCCAATATAACCCTAATATAACCCCA